TAAATAACCCCAACAGTACCAAACCTTAATAATTACATAAGTTTATATTATTAGATCGATGCCTATAAAACATTCAGCTGAGATAGATGATATAGGTACCCATGACATATTAAATGTGCTTTGAAACTGGGATTTTTCCGGATAAGTTAAAAATTGCCTACCTCAACCAAAAAAACGAAAAATTAATTTTGTAGCGAGTACCGCTCTGGATCTCGGAATTATGACTCATTGCCGATGACTCATCGTCGGTGAGTCAGCGCTCGAATAATCGAGAGCGGTGTGGAGCTCGCTGGAATATTCGGGAATTGACGTAGGCACTGAATATATAAGGAACGGAGCAGCATGGAGCAGTCAGTCAAGTTTTGGTACTCGCGACGAAATAAATAAATATACGTGCAAATAAATAGACTCTTGAACAGTAGTGATATATAAATAATTAGTAGTTAATGTTTTAGTTAGTTTTATAGTTTCTTAGTGTTTTAAGTGTTATTAAGTTATAAAATAAATAGTTTTGTTCGGTAATCTCAAAAGTATTATCTGCCGAAATTTAATATTTTGTCACCAACCCAATTCGGTTTCTTGCCCAAAATATTGACAACAGATGCTATTTATACATCAATTAAATATACCATAAAATACTTGTTGCAGAAATATATTTTGACCTTACTAAGGCCTTTGATTGTTTGAGCTATAAAATTCTTCTAAAAAAATGGAATCATACGGCACTCGTGGAGTGGCACTAGATTTGATGACATCATATCTGACAAATAGAAAACAGGTCGTTGCAATTAGATCAGTCCAAAATGGATGCAGTTCACTTACCTTTTCAGATAAAGTTAACCTTACATTGGGTGTTCCACAAGGATCAATTTTGGGTCCTACACTTTTTTTAATATATGTGAACGATCTTAACAACCATCTGAGCAATCTCTGTCAGTTTGCTGATGATAGGCACATCAATTATCGATGTATCTGTAAAATCAAGTAATGTAATTCAAATTATGTCAGAATGGTGTTTATCAAACGCACTATTACTTAATGCATGCAAAACTAACTTGTTGGTTTCAATAAAAACTATAATCGTAAGACGCAAAGTTTATTAGCGTTCGCAAAAGGAAATTCGATTCCAAATTGTGAATATACAAAATGTTTAGGTCTTCATATTGACTCAAGCCTTAGCTGGGAGCAACATATTTAGTCAGTTAAAACAATTTCTTTGTATTGTATGCAACCCATTATACATTTTAAGATACTACTGCTCCTCAGCAGCAACTAAATAATATTTAAAAAAGCACCGTCGCGGAGGTCGATTGGACCCTTTCATAAAATGTTGTTTAATAAAAATAATAAGTTAATTTTAATAATTAGATTAAAAAATCGCCGCGGCGGGCAAATATATAATAACCGTCGCAACAAACAGTATACGTAGACATTTGATTTGATCATCAAATGACATTTGATTTAATCATCAATATTAATTATTAGCAAAGACCGGATTTTAGGCAAAATGCCTTTTTGTTTCTATTTTAGGCATTTGTTTGGGACCTTAAAATTAATCCTAAACTTAAAAAAAAACAAAGCGTTTGACACCCAAGTAAATTATTTTTAATTTGACCCTGCTTTCATGTTTTTATTTCGCCTAGACGCCGAGGACCACAAATTACAAAACTAGTGAAAATATAATAAAAAAGAAATTTTTGCTATCTAAATATTTATTATAAATAATTATGGATAATATTAAGTTAGTAAAATAATGGTTGATAATTATTATTTACTTTGTTTTCATAGGTTTTACTGTAATTTCCATATATTTATTACACATACATATACCATATGGTAATTTCAGACTTTTAACAGTTTTTATTAATATAATTTGTCGCCAGCTTAGTAAAATAATGGTTGATAATTATTATTTACTTTGTTTTAATAGGTTTTACTGTAATTTCCATATATTTGTTACACATACATATACCATATGGTAATTTCAGACTTTTAACAGTTTTTATTAATATAATTTGTCGCCATCTATAGCATAATTAAATAACTCTCCACAATTAACAGGTGGTAAATAGTTTTTCTATAAAGACAATAGATGGCTAAAGCCAACTTTGACAACCGTTGGAATCAACGTATCGTGCTTTTATTTGTTTTTGTTTATATTTTTTGTTTAGCGACCTGAATAAATGTTATGTTTAATCGTGTTGTTTTTATTTCATATCGCCTACTTTAGGCACTTTCAGCCTAAAACTGCCTAAAAAGTAGGTTTTTATTGCCTATTTATGTGTCCTAATTTCCAATTTTTAGGAGCCTAAAATCCGGTCTTTGATTATTAGTATTATTAAATGTGAATTCGGATAAAATTTAATATGCACCTCGGCATTAAAGTAATTTTTTATCACTCACGTGGTTATTTAATTTCCACATTCGTGATAAAAAATACGACTTTAGTGCCTTGATACATAAATAACTATTCTATGTCAATTAAAATTTTTAAACACGATGAGAAACCTCTTAAAATTAAAAGAGAAACCTTTAAAAATTAAGAGTTCGGACTTACTTAATTAACATAAACTAAAGTAACTTTAATGATAGCGATAAGAATACATAACAGTATATTTTGAGGATTTTTACAAATAGAATTGATTGTTTCAATTTAGTATTTTTGAACAAAAACGCAGTTTAAAAAAAATAAAATGCCGGTATTTTTATGGTAACTTCCATTTTTGCCTTTAAAAACCAATTAAGTGATTTTTACATTGTTTTTATTCTTTTTTTATTAATCCACGCGCCAATCACCTGGGCAAAGGGACAGTAAAATGCTTGAGCTGGTTTTCAGGTGGGATTTAAAGCGTTAAATCTAAAAAACCATTTGGGTTAAAAGGCAATAGAAAATCTTCGACCCGTGAATTGACGATTTCCTGTTCTATTCATTCCGTATAACTATGTCGAACAGATAGTCCGCATTTCCATTTCACAATTTACTTTCAATTAAACCTTTGTGATTAATCCAGAATTCCATTAAATTATTTTGAATTTTTTTTAATGAATACTTACTTTAATAGTTTACAAAACGTAGAAGGTCTGTCCTAGGATCCTAAGACCAAAATAAGTTTGCTAAAATCTGACAGTTTGACACTTTTAAGGGACAAAGAAATCAATTTTAAAATTATATCATAGACAATACAATTCATTAATATTAGAACCAATAAAATGCCAGCATTCCATAGTTACGCATTTTATCTCAGCGGCAATATATTTTATCATCTTGATTTAACATTGGATTGGTGTAAACGATAATGAAATTAAGGTAAGTTTGAATAAATAAGGTTTATTAAAGTCTTTTTATATTTTAAAGCACATTTTAATTTTAAATGGCAATCTGACAATTTTTTAAATCCTGCGGACTCGTGAAATCTGCAGCTCGGTTTCAATTCGAAAATATTATCGATGATACCACTTGTTATTTTATGGGTGATAATAAATTATATTTATTATTATTTCATAACGGTGGAATTTGTAAAATCTTATTAAAAGCAAAACAAATCTGGTGCATTTAATTTTAAATTATTCTTAGTAACCTAATGTTCTTGCGAACCTAACTGTAAATAATTAAAATACAAATTTTGTAAAAACCACGAAAGTAATTAACTTTTATCTGAAGTAACTACCTTTTTTTTGTTAGAAAACTAAATTTTAGGTGGGCCTATGAATTAATATTGAACATAATGGGTTGAGACATGCAATTTTTTATTGCATATTTGAATCCACGCATACGAGTCTGTCTTTAAAACATTCCTACGATTTTTGAAAAGACTAAAGCGTTTTCAAAAACGCAACATTTAAAACTCTTCGCTTTGGAATAAGAGCGTGACTTCACGATGTTATATGTCATTTCAATACAAAGACAAAAACAAATTAATTTTGTTGACTGTTAAAATCCCTTTACTTATTAAAAAAACATTATCTATTTTTATTTACTTACTTAATAATCATCTGCGCGATTTTTAATCAATTTAAATACTTTAAAAACTATTGAACATAACTTGTAAATATATATTTGTGTTTAAAATTTATATTATAACAAAGTTTGACTTTGAATTTTAATAATAATAATTTCCTATCATTTTTTTAATCTCTTTAAAATGTTCCATAATTATAAATTTACTTTAAATGTATTTATATTATATAATTCCATATGGAACGTACTTTATAATCAATTAATATCTTTAAAAAATCCTTTAAAAGGGGCAATAAAAAGCAGTAAGGATTCCACAATTTGAAAAAATGTGCTTCGAATGAGTAAATTATAATATATAGTGCTTTAAAGAAATCTTAAAATAATTAAAAACTGCTTGAAAAGAACACAAAATAACAAAAAAGTGCCTTAAACGAGTTCAGAATCATAAAAGATGTACAAAATAATATAAAATGCTTTGTGGGATCCACAAAAATGTGTATCGAAGGAGCCCAAAATCATTATTAATAAATAATTGTTTTTTTACTCCCACCTTTAAAACGACCATTATCGTACATGTTGGAATGGCACTAAGTAATCTTTTAAATATACATTGACAAACTATGGCGCTTTAGTCACGGGCTAAACCGGTTTTTAGTCACGCTTAGCTTTAAGTTAGTTGACGGTTGTCAAAGGCCATACAATCGTTAAAATCCAGTCCTTATTCTGTGAAATAATACTAAATGTAAAAATTATTTAATTATCTTAATAAAAAAATTTAAAAGTATTAATTATTTTCTCAACGTCCAAATTTAAAAAGTTTGTAGTGACCATTTGATTTCGCCGGCAGTACGGACTTATATAAGACTGCGGCCGGCAGTAAACTATACTTGATAAGTCATGAAAAAACATGAAAATATGTAATCAATTTTTTTAAACCTTTAAGTACTCATATTTCTTGTAAACTATTTAAAAAAATCCAATTATTGGTATCATGCAAATCATAACTGAATTTAAAATTCTTCTTATTTTCAGATATGTTCAGCAAACAGCGAATTCTCCAGTCGACATGAGAGTGGGGATACACACAGGCGCCGTTCTTGCAGGGGTGCTTGGCCAAAGACAATGGCAATTCGATGTTTATTCCAAGGATGTCGAACTTGCCAATAAAATGGAAAGTAGTGGACTTGCCGGGTGAGTAAAAAATCGATTCGAGGTTTCAATTTAAAACAGAAGGCAAAATCAATAGATGCCTTAAACAAAGTGCTTCAAAAAGTTATTTTATATATTAAACATTTAAAAAAGTAATACTGTAATAGATTTTTGTCATTATACACTCTGTTTGTTTTTAACACAAATTTAGTTTATTAACATTTTTTCAGCAAAAAACTTTTTTAACTTATATAATTGTAAATTTAAGAAACCCTTATCCCAATCAATTGGCTACAAAATATTTTACTTCGTTTGATTAATTTTTTCATAATGAGGCGTTTATTTAAGACATTTTTCCTTAAACTGACTTAATGATGAAACTAATACTGGTTTTACTATAACAATGTCTGATGTTTGAGTATAAACATTGAGGAGGAATTCTACGATGCTTCCTAAAGCAGCTTAATTTTGCACGCCATCCTTATGAATGTTTTAGACAGGAAACGCTCCAGTTATTGAACCAACTTCCCAATTGACCCGTTTCTCGCACCTTACCTCGGGGAAATATTTTCGATGTGGCTCATAGATTGTAATTCTAGCTAATAAAAACTTTTTAACCAAACTCAAGTTTAATAATAAAATATAATCAATAGACATCTGACTTTTAGGTACCTTAAAATTTAAAATGGACTTAAAATAGACTTAATTAGCAAGTAAAAAGCAAAAGATATTTTAAGGTTTTAAGTGTTTTAAACAACTACTAAAAAATGGTATCCCCAGTTATAACTCTTTTAATTTTATTTTATTTAAAACACTTAAATTATAAAAAGGTTCTTATTGTGATATCCAAGGTCGCTTTAAAACTATACAATAAACTTTGAATAAAACCAAATTATCTTTTAGACAACCTTAGCACCATCATAAAGCAGCTTCTAGCCAAAAAGGGCCCATCCTTAAAGGGACTAAATTTTAAACTATATTAAAACCATTTAGATTTAATTTTATATTCTTAAAAAAAATTTCAAGCCAACTCTAAATTTATGTATTAAAACTTATTTGCATTTAAAATATACTAACATAATGCCATATACATACTCGTATAAAGCATATCATAAAAAATATTCAAATACAAACTATTTTGGTAAAAATTTAACAACGGATGGCACTTTTCTGACAAAATATAATTAAAATACTTCTACTTAACTCGACTGCCATCAATTTATAATTTTTTTTATTGTTGATATAATATTTTAAAAACATTGTCAAATTTTATTTTGCATCTAAACATATGAATGCTTTTCTTAGTTATTTAAGGCGCATATTTTTTGTAATATTATTTTTTCTTTGGCTATTGAAATAATGACGGCGTCTGTATTTTATATAAACCATGGCGCGATCTAGATTAAAACTGTTATAAATTATTTGAAATCTTATAAGACTTAAAACAGCATCTTATTTACCACTTTAAATACAATTATTCTCGCAAACGTCTATTTACTCTTCATTTTAAAATTGAGTTGCTTTAATATGTTCAAACTCATGGCCTTCCGTTTTTTTAAATTACCACTTCCTTTTAATTTAAAATTATTCTTGCCAATATTTTCCATTTTAAATATGTGTTATAATTTTCTTTCACGTATAAAGTAGATACACAAACTGCACTGGTTCAATAAATTAGCTTATTAAGAAGATGGCTTTATCAAAATGTGAAGGGGTAGAATTAGTTTTAATAAAGTAGTCCAAATTTACAAAATTAAAACCTTTGATTTTAAAATGTTCTCAATGTACTCTTTAAAACGTAACAACTATGTTTTTGGATTTAAAGTGGAATTTTATTGAGCATATAGGCCTAAGATAAAATAGTTTTCTTAATGGGTTTTAATGAGTTCATCAAGGGAACTTATAAATATCTAACTTCATTAAAACTATTTGTTCCAAAATGGATGGTTTTAAAACCAACTTATTCTTTAAAAAATAATTAGAAGAACAAAATAAACGATTAAAAACAAGATAGACCATTTTATTTTTTGTTTGAGTAAAATATTAACAATTACGAGCCCTAACCACATAATGTTCGGACACTTCATAATTTATACAGAAATTTTTTTCGTGAATACTATCTCAAAATTATTAGAAGTTATGAAAAATTCAGCTTATTTTGGCATATACCCCTCGAAGCGATTTTTATTTTTAAAAAGTTTACCTTTTATTTTTAGCTTTTAAAAAAAGGCTAACTTTTTAACTTTTTTTTGTATGAGTAAAAAAAGTTATAAATGGACCCATTAAAAAGAGCATAAAATATTATACAAACCCTGAAAATTTGGTAAAAAATAAATAAGTTATAAAAAAGTATAAGTAATTTAAAAATGCTATTTTTAAAGAGTTTTTGCAATTTTCTTAGGAAACGGGAGATTTTGCAGATATATATATCGCTATAACTTTCTTATTATTTATACAATTTTTACCAAATTTTCAGGGTTTGTATAATATTTTATGTTCTTTTTAATGGGCCCATTTATAACTTTTTTTACTCATGCAAAAAAAAGTTAAAAAGTTAGCCTTTTTTTAAAAGCTAAAAATAAAAGGTAAACTTTTTAAAAATAAAAATCGCTTCGAGGGGTATATGCCAAAATAAGCTGAATTTTTCATAACTTCTAATAATTTTGAGATAGTATTCACGAAAAAAATTTCTGTATAAATTATGAAGTGTCCGAACATTATGTGGTTAGGGCTCGTACTATCTTCGAATTCAAAATTTTTTGAATTAGTAATGAAAAATCGTCTAGTTGCATTTTTTAATAAACACAACTTATTTAGTGAGGGTCAGCATGGCTATTTGAGAGGTAGGTCTCTCGAAATATTATCAAGTTTGGACAAAAATTATGACTATATGTGTATATTTTTAGATCTATCAAAAGCCTATGATTGCCTTAATCATAAATTATTTTTAAATAAACTTGAGAAATATGCATTGCTGTGGATGCAGTCACACCTCTTAAATAGAAGTCAACGGGTCTCGATAGAAAGAGATGGTAAATCTGTCATTTCAAACCCTCAAACCATTGAAGTTGGAATACCTCAGAGCAGTGTAATTGGCCCTGTCATTTTTGTAATATATTTAAATGGTTTGAATTATACAGTGACAAAGCCGGGTCAAACGATTATAAATTTTGCTGACGAAACAAATTTACTTGTAAGGTCAAAAAATGCAGATGTACTAATTAGAGTTGGTTTGCCAAAAATGGACTCATACTCAAAAAGGATAAAACTCAATGTATTTGTTTTAAAAATATAGAATCAAGATTGGAAAATATAAATAGTTACAGTGCTTAACACAAAATTTTTGGGAGTTCACATTGATGAAAATTTAAACTGGAACGTACATGTTGAACAACTGCACACAATGTTTGGACTAGGACAGATCGACTCATGTAGAGGTATTTTAAAATAAATCAAAATTTTAACCATTTATGGTCTTTATGCTTGTGAACTTGTCTTATTTATGTATAAAAACAAAATTTTATTTCAAGATCTTAAATCTTTAAGTACAAGACATAAGTATTATTATTACCCTTATCATGGGTTATATATGAAAAGGGCTGTTTTTATGCAAGTGTAAAAATATTTAATAGTTCACCAACTGATATTAAGGAAATTAAGAACTTAAATTTACTAAAGAAGAAATTGTTTTTCTTTTTTGTATATATAATTGTAGGTTCTCTTGTAATTTTATGTGCAACTTTTTTCGGGGTTGCAAATTGCATTACAAAGAGTTTTGCTTTGTGAAAATATCCATTGTTGACAGTTAAAATTTTTTTTAATATATTTTTTTATTATATTTTTTTAGTTTTTATAGTTTATTTAGAGACTAATCTATGTGTTATGTTATCACAAAATAAACGTTAAAAATATTATTTTATTTTCTTCTTACAAAATACTTAGATAATAAATATATTCAAAAATGTTCCTATAAACACATTTTATTACCAAATTTTTCCTTTTAAAAGTATTAATAAAAATACTAATATTAAAAAGGTACCTTTATGAAAAATAACACTGGTTTATAGTCAAAATGTCCCTTTTATGCCAATATTTCTTATTATGTAATCTGCGAAACTCCAAAATCACATAAAAAAATTGTATATAAAATATATACCTATATAATATATAGTTTTTATTTTTTTTCCCATTTGTTTTTCGAAGGCAGCTGTACAATTTGGGATATATAACGAATTAGAAATGGCCAATTTGGTTGCAAAAGGTATTAAATTATACATAACCGAATCACCAACCAATATCGCTCTCTTAATGCTAATTTAATTAAGTGGTTAGATCAAATATTAAAAAGTTGTTTTTTTGGACAGAAATAAGAACGCAACATTTACCTTTTTGTCAAAAATTAATACAAATTGGCCATTTTCAAATTGTCTCAAAGCCTTACAAAGAGTTCACACTTTTGTGAAGAAAACATGGTATTTACATAAAAAATCAAAAAATTAATTAGTCAAAGTGACTATAGTTACTACAGTTATTAGTACAGTTTTTCAATTATACCATGGTTAACCATAGAATACCATGGTAACAACATGGTAACAAGGTATTTACATAAAAAATCAAAAAATGAATTAGTCAAAAATGACTAGTTACTACAGTTATTAGTACATGGCTGCTTTTTCAATTATACCATGGTTAACCATAGAATACCATGGTATCCCCAACATTTAACAGCCAATTCTTATGTAAAATTGTCCCCTGAATCCGAAAATATAATAATAATTCCATATTATATGGAAAATTGACTATACCTCAAAAACTGTTCTACTCTTTTAACTTTTAACATTTTCGGATTCAGGGGACAATTTTACATGAAAATTGACTGCTAAATATTCAGGATACAAATTGCTATTGACGAGAATTATTAGTGGCTGCTTATTCGCTATGACAATTAGTCATTTTTGACTAATTCATTTTGTAGAGAGCATGAATATGTACTAAAGTTATGACCGTTTATGTAGCAAAAGTCAACTTTTTGTTCATTTTTG